GAACTCACAGAGATCCGCCTGCCTCTGCCTCCCGAGTGCTGGGATTAAAGACGTGCGCCACTACCGCCCGGCTAGTTAGCTTTTTATTTTATTTTTAAAATAAATTTATTTATTTTATTTTATTTTGCCCACATGTATGTCTGTGTATTATGTTTATGCAGTGCCTTTGAAGGCTGGAAGAGGGTGTTGGATATCTTGGGACTGGAGTTATAGATGGTTGTGAGCCACCATGTGGGTGCTAGGAATTGAACCTGGATCCCCTGGGAGAGCAACCAATGCTTTTAACTGTGGAGCCATCTTTCTAGCCCTGGTTTCACCTTTTAAAACATATTTTTATTGAGGCATGACTGGCATACATAAACTGTGCATATTTAATGTCTGTGATTTAGTAAGTTTTGACATAGACCTCATTAGCTTGTTCCCACTAATGTGCACAAAAGTTTTATCTTGACACAATTTAAGCACCGGAGTTGTTATTAAGAATTTAGATGGTAAACATTTGTGTTCACCACTCCCTTCCTATAATGAACATTTCTCTTTTTGCTCCTTCTCAAACTCTGCCATCTGACTCAGCCTCAGGCCTTCCAATGATCTGGACTTCCAGGTGCGTTTCAGAATAGGCTTGATGGAATGATAACCTCCAAAACATTCCTATGCCGATCACTCATTAGAGTAGAGCATTTATTTACAAAGTTTCTTCTCCTGAAGACAATAGTACAATGTATAAGCTGTAAGTGTCTGTTTTGAGTTTTATTATTAGTGCTTGCATTATATTTACATATCCAGTGTTTGTGCATCTGTGTGCACAAACACTGAGTGTGTACCCCATTGCACACATGTGGAGGTCAAAGGACAACTTTGCAGGGTAGATTCTCTCCTTCAACCATGTGCAGGGTGAAGATCAAACTCAACTTGTTTCCTGCTTTGGCAGCAAATATTATCAACTGAGTCATTTTGATGGTCTGAGGTATACATTCTGGACTGATTTTTGCCAAATGCATACAACTGAGGAACTCAAGCAGCTTTCAGGATCTAGAATGTTTCTATCAACCCAGGGAATCCCCTGAAACCCATCATAGACAATCCTTGTTCCATTTTTTCCTGAATTATTATAATTTTGTTGTTTTTTTTCTTGTCATAGATTCATTTATCTGTTTTGAAATTTTATAATTTTAGAAGTACAACATAAAAACAGCCCATGTAAGGCTTTATCATAGACATAATGCTGCTGAGAATTACCACCATTTTAAGAGGCATAGAGTATGTATGATACAAAAGAAATACTAGGAAATTCTGAGCGAGCACTCCAATGATGATAAAATGCTCGATGCCTTAAAAAATTTTACCATAAAAAGAACTTTGTAGGGATGGATAGATGGCTCAGTTGGTAAAATGCTTACCATGAGTGTAAGAGGACCCGAGTTCAATTTCCAGAACTCAGGTTTAAAAAAAGCTGGACGTGGTGATGGCTGGTGTACACTTGTCATCTCAGCATTGGGGCAGAGGAGGCATGTAGATTGCTAGAGCTTACTAACAGCAAGCTTGGCCAAACTAGTGAGAGACACTGATTCAAAAAAAAAAAAAAAAAAAACAAGGTTGGTGGCAATTGAGGACAACACTGGCCTTAAGCTCTGGCTTCCACACACTTGCACATACATGCACTGTCAACTACCAGACACACATAGCTGTACACACACACACACACACACACACACACACACACACACACACACAACATTTTAGCAAGGAAGATGAGTAAGAATTACCTACAACTGCTTAAAGCACGTGTCAGCAAACATTTTCTACAGTGTACCAGAGGGTAAATATTCTACGTTTCACTGGCCATATATTCTGTGTTGTGATTACTTAATTCTTCCGGAAGTTAAGTGAATGCAAGCCACAAGCACTATGCAAATGAAGTCCGATTACATTTCAACAAAACTTTATTCGTGGATGCTCATACTTGAGTTTCATATTTTTAAGTGTCACATAGTATTTTCTTTTGTTTTTTTTTCCCAGCCATTTGGAAGTTTGAAATTCATTCTAATCACACCACTCACATGAAGAGATAAGCTGTATTTGCTAATACTTTATGTATATTGGGCTATCAAACAGAAGAGGGGTGATCATTATTAATTTTATTACACACACATATATAAGTATATATTATGTATTTATTTATGTGTAGTAGAGGGCACACTACTGCTATAGCAAGCATGTGGCAGTCTGGGGACAGCTTGCTGGAGTCGGTTATCTCCTCGTAACTGGGGTCTGAACTCACGTCATAAGCCTTGGAGGTAAATATCTCCACTAACTGTCCTTCCCGAAGGTAATAATTCTTCTCTTTAAGCCTAGTGGGCAATATATGAAGATTCAAGGAAGCAGCTTCTACTAAAATCCTGGAGTTCCTTCTAGCCATTAGAGCAATTCCGATGGAATTATTAGTTGTATTTCCTCTTCCCTTAGTAGCACAAGGGTTAAAGGCCGTTTCCACACCTGCTCTGTGTAGCTCACCTCCCCCGCTACTCTCAGTCTACTCTATGAACGCGGGCAGATTAGTTAGTACCACTGTGTGTGCAGGAATTCATCCCAAAACAATAGAACCAGATATCTAGAGGTATCCTCAAAATTCAGTACGTGACTATATAGAAAATCCTGAGAGCAGGCGATGACATCTTTGTCAGCTCTCATCATCATTACGGTCTTGGTCTCGTCCCTGAGAGGCCATGGAGACGTGTGTTGGTCAGTTGTCTGCTGTTGTCACAAAATAATTGAGGATATTAACTTCTGAGGGAAATGTATCTTGACTCAGAGGGGTCAACACATAATCTCCAGTGAGGAAGGATATCACGGTAGGGCTATGTGGTGGAGGAAGCTGCTTATGTATTGGTGGCCAGGAAGGAGAGAAAGACTAATCATTGGAGAGCAGGATGAGGGTAAGAAGGATTTGGAGCACACCAGTGAGTTGGGAGTCCCAGGATCCCATTCCAAGGCATACTTTCCATGACCTGGCTTCTTTTCTGTCGGGCCCAACCTCCTAAAGGCACCACCCTTCCCAGTAGCATTATAAAATGGGGATCAAACCTTTAAGGAACTGTGGGCAAGAAGACACTTTACATAAAAACTGGAACTGTATGTGTATTTTACTGAAAAGGTCTCTGCTTTCCATGGGCTGGAATAATAGATGGACTTAGATGCTTCCTCTCACTCGTGACTTTCATTCTCCTTAAGTTACTGTCCGGTGCTTCAGTCCTGAGACTCACTGTTGTTGAAACTTGAGAAGAAACAGCACCATGCTTCTAGCCATGAATATTAGCATGGCTCATGCAATAAGGTAAGAGTTTCTATTTGGTCTTGTCCTGTTGTCTTGGGTACGTTATTAACGACAGGGCCCTATGCAGGCCCTGCCTGCTTTTGATTCCACTTTAACTTTTTGTCTCTCCATGAGCACATGACATGCCTGGTGATTTTTGCTTTGTAAAGGGAAATACGTGCAGTTAAATGCACTAACCATGGTTATCACTATCCCTATGGGTTGTAGTCACTTATTAGGCCACAATTGACCCAAGGAATGGTTTGCGATTGTATCCAGATGTCATGTGACTAATGTCATGGCCATTTTAAGCTCATTATAATTCATGCCAAGCCTCGAGAAGAGACCAGTCAAGAGTCCACACCGGGAGCTCTCCATTTCTCATTTCTCCGAATCCTCCATTATGACAGGTATATTATATTACTGTGCTGGCTTATTCTGTCATCCATTCCCCAGGCCTGTTCATCTTTATTTCCATTTTGATCATGTGACCTTCCCTTCTGTTATCTGGCTGGAACCGCAGCACCAATGCCTGGGAGCAGCAAACGCAACAAGAGTCACCAAACAGCAGAGAAGACCTGGGAGGCCTCTTATAGCATCATTTCCATCTTTCAGATGAGGGGACAAGGGGACAGACGGCATAAAACCTCATGCTTCCAGTCTAGAGCTCTTTTTACCAGTCCTTGTCTCGAGGCAGGATCTGATGTGGGGTGTGTTGCGAAGGAAGTCCGACGGGCCAGGTGACCACGAGTCCTGCCTTCATGCTCTAACTGCAGTGGTTCAGCACTATTCCCATATGGACAAATACAATAGCTGGGATATTACTGTTATGACACACACTCTCAGACCATGTAAATAAACATCAGATAGCCAGACCACGCCTATTTGTGAAATCACGTTTGGGATATCTTTGTTTTCCTGTAGGAATCTCAAACAATACTGGTTTCAGGCTTTCTATATTCAAAAGCCCTGGTGGTGAGAGAGAGTGAAGACCTCCAGTATTGATGTAAATATTTCAATGCTTGGATGTTTGTGTGAGCGTAGGATACCAGAAAGAGCTTTGGCATGACGCAACATGGAGGGAGACACGAGCTGATGGTGGATGAGTGTTTATCACAAGGGACATATGGAAGTGGTGTCAGGAGGCAAGATGCAAGCCGAACAAAGCTAAAATGACAAGATACAAGGAAAACCAAGTGTTGGCAAGTGAGGAAGTGGGGGGGGGGGCACATGGGTGGTGGCAGGCCTCAGCAGTTCCCAGGAAGTTAAGGTGGAGGGGGAAACCATGCGAAGGAACCCAGTAAGGGAACCACTTTACAACTCATCACTTTATAGACTTCAAATGTCCCATGTGCTTTTTGAAGGACCAAATCTGAACTGACTCTTCACCATTTTCTAGTTTGACCCCAAAATGGGAGTTCCCAGGTTGCATAGAAACAATGGCATTTTGAGTAAAGAGCATGAGCTCATAACCAACTTTCTAAATTTTGTGTTTAATAAGTACTGCTTTGAGCACAAGTGTACTTTCTCCATACAAAAGTGCTTTTTAAAGTATGATATAAAGGGATATGCTGATATGGACTAGATGCTCAACTGATCTAGATTTATATACAAAATATTCTATCTATAAATTTGGAAAATTATTTCACCTTATTGTGTAAGACCCAAATACTAATGCCTCTTGTTT